CCCGCGTGCAACCGCACTGCCCTGCGCCATCCTCACAACTGTTCTCCTGCCTGAGCCCAGGGTGGGAGCCACCGTGTCCATCCATCCCTCTCCTTGTGGGCCTCGCTCTTTCCACCTGCCCCTCCAGTTCACTGAGCATGCTCTCCTTCTCCAGGGACTGGCCTGCTGCTGCGACACAGCCAAAGGACGTGAGAGAAAGCCTCCCCGTCCTTGCCGCTAAAGAAAATCGTTGCCTCACATCTTGCATCGGATCATTCATTAACGGTCGTTGTTGTCATTAGCGCCCTCGAGTCGGCTCCGACCCATCGCAACCCTGCGCCATCCTCAGGATCGTGCCTGTGCCTGCGCCCCTCGATGCGGCCACTGTGCCCATTCATTAGTTGGAAAAGCATATGAGAGACGGCGTTGCGCAGCTCTGCGTGCCTGGTAAGAGGTCTGGTGGCGCAGTGGTTAAAGCACTCGGCCAGGAACCCCGAGGTTGGTGAATGGGGCCAGCACGCTGCTCCCAGGAGGCAGATGAAATCGTCTGATCTTTCGAGGCGCACAGCCTCGACGCCCCACGGGGCTCTTTTCCCATGTCCTATGGGGTGCCTATGAATCAGAATCAACCCAATGGCAGCGGGTTTGGGAGTGGATGTGCCAGGCACCAGGGCCACAGATGAACAGGTCGCAGAGCCTATCTCAATGGCCTATGAGCCCTACCAACCAGTAAGTCGCTTTAATCCTACCCTGATACTTTCCTGCCCCTACCTGGGGTTCTAGATGAAGCCAAGCAGGTCCCCGCCAACGGCCAGCTGCACCAAAGCCTTCTCAATGACCCCACAGAGCTGCTATGAGCACCTCTCCTCAGGAGAAGCCCCCCCTCCACCCCACACAGCTCAGCCCCAGAGCTCTTGGATAACCTTCAGCCAAGGAGGCTTCCAGGACCCGTCGAACTTCTAGAAGCACCCTTTTCAGTCTTAGAGAAGAAAGAGAGTGAAACAGGAAGTTTCTAGGGATACACATCTATAAGTCACAGTGCCCCCTCCCCCACCCCGCCTACCAGCACCAACAGCTCAGGGACATACTCATGCTCAAGTACATCTCACCCTCCTGCAGCTGGCTTCCAGCAAAGCCCCAGTCAGAACGCTGCAACATCTGTCCATCCACTGCGGGTTGAGAGGACCACAGACTGGCCAGAGATACAGGAGAGCTTGCAATCTTTCAGCAAGATCATCTGCTCTCCCTCCAAAATATCCCTCCCCTTCCCCTACTCCCCTCCCCCACTGCCCCCACTGCTCCTGGTGCTCCTGCCTGGAAGGCTCTGTCCCCAAGTCTTCTGGTGGCTGCCTCCTGCTGCTCAGATGCCACCTCCTCTATGAAGCCTTTCTTCATAGACCACCACTCTCTCATGCCCCCTACGTGTCTGCCTTCAGAGTGCATCATGTCTATGTGTCTCTGCACACACCCTCCAGCCTTATCGGATTATTCAAAACGATGTCCCCATCCTCTGGAACAGTGCCGAGCACACATCACGGATTCCATAAGTATTGGCTGATAAATACTATTTTAGGAGTGCAGGATCCCCCCACCCTGCACTAGATTTGCAGACATCTGACATGCAACTGCTTCTTCAAGGAAATGCACCCCAAAACTGAGTCAGGCCTCCTCCGAGGAAGCCCTGGGGTGGGCGGGGTCTGGATACAGCTAGCCGCAAGTGGTGGCCACAGCAGAGAGGGAGGAGGAAGCGGACACTTCACAGGCCGGAGGATCGGGAAGGGGGTTGTTAACCTACAAAACTGAGGTAATTTCCTTAGGCCAACTGCTGGGAAGTCAGACGTAACAGGCTACTTCCTCCTCCCAAAGAGAGCAAGCTCCGCTTTTCCACTGCTTGCTGCAGGCTGGGTTAGTCCACAGCTGCCCACAGGACCAAACCCATCCGCAGGCGCTCCCCTCAGCTCGGTCCACTTCCGTAGCTTTGAAACTGGCCCCTCTCCCCCTACTTCCTCCTTCTGCCACAAGGCCGACTCTCGGGAGCCCTTCCTCATTCGCAAGCACACCTCACTGGACCCTCACGGTACGACCCAAAGAGGGTCATCGGACAGGCCACAAGTGAGGCCAGGCCGAAGGCCGCTCTAGAACCCAAGTCTTCTGCCTGATGGCTCGGGGCTATCTCTGAAGGTCGTTCCCCCACCGTTTCTAGAACGAATAAGAAATGCTAAGCATGTGCATGTGCATGTCCATACATGGGCACGCTCCTGGGTAAGGCAGCCGGGAACGAACCGGGCACAACTCAAGATAGCCAGGCCACGCAGGGGAGCTTTCCACTCGCTCGCCCCGGACTGGCCCATAAGAGCCTCAAAGCAGGAGGGTCCCCTTCTTGACCTCTGGAACCCCCAGCACTTGGCTCCAGAATCTGGGGAGACATACCCAGGGCTGAGATGCCCTCCGGCCGTCCCCGCCTCCCTCCCCCCTCCCCTCCAGGAGCC